CATTAGCACCTCTAGTAATATATTTACTGAGAAAAATGGTGACATGTTCAATACTTATTTTACCTGCTGTATATAGTCGTGAACCCCTCTATCCAACTAGGCGGGGTGTGAAGCACCTTGTTTGTATTTAAAGAGACAGCCTCAAAAAAAGTTGATCTGAGACACACCTCAGAAAAATTTTAATTGAAAGCAAAAACATATGAATGGCCCAATAAATAAATATTACACTTAAAACGCTCCAATTAATTAAAAAATGAGAATTTTACCTCATGTTTATTTTTTTGGCTTAGTTCCAACAAATTATACATTTTAGCACATAATTTAAATTTTACTGTTTTTATGTTTTTCTTTTTGCTTACAGATGCAGTTGTCTTTGATTTTTTATTGATGTTTTTCATTGTTTGTTTTCCCCACGTCTTTTTATATCCATGTGTTGAATTTACATTTTTACCTTATGCATTYCTGCCTCATTATGCAAATAAGGTGGGCGGTTCAGACAATAGGAGCAGGATCCATGTGCGATTGATTGTGCATGTYGACTCAGTTTAGCAATTAGTAATGCGAACACCAGTTCATTTTGTCTTTTTTTTTTTTGTCTTTTTTCTGTTCTGCACAAGTTAGCAAATCTTGGCAGGTGTGACGCAGACCTCTGAGAATCTGTTTCGAATTTAATAAATAGTTTTTAACCGTTTTAATTGGACAAAACTTTTTGATTTTATAGGTGAATGTTTGTAAATAGGCAGTGAGGTTTAGGTCAACCCTGCTGGACATCAGATCCTAGATTTGCCCCTGAAAAGAATGACTCAAGACTTCTGCACAGTCCTGTGTAATTCAATAAAAAGGTAAAATAAATCACTTGTTCTCGCGCCGCCTCTGCTGCATCCTGGACTTTCACCACTAGAGGGCAGCGACGAGCTCAGAATCCCTCTCAAGCGTTTGAGCGATGCTGACTGGACTTGAAGTGACTGCAGGCTGTTTTCACAGCTTCCCAACAATAGGACCGAGCTGCTGATAAGATCTTTGGCGCCTCGTAAACGGCCGAGGAAATTGTTTGTTTGTTCCTCTTTCAGGAAAAAAAAAAAAAAAGGAGATACTGGAAGTGAAGCAGACAGATCAGTTCCCCGGATAGGAAAACTCCTAAAATAAACTCGCAGGTTATTTAAGGTTAGCTCAGGTGGAAAAAAAAATAAAAAAAGTTTAGATTTTTCTTTAGATTTTTTTCCGGAGACAGAAGTAAAAATGTTCATTTAATCTATTCGTGATTGGTTAGATTAATAAACTGTAAGAAACCTGTAAGATACATGATCCTAAAGTGTAGAACGGGCAGATTTTTTAAATGTTAAATGTGGATTTTTTTTATTTAAAAGAGACAAAACTTGAACAAACTCCAGCTGTTTTGTTTAAAACCTCATGTGTTCACAAATAACTCGTTTCAGATCCTGTGACCTTGAATGAGAAAGCTTACAAGTTATTTCAATTTTATGTTTACACGACAATAAAAAGATTCAATATTTACCTGCAGAAAGATGCAATAAAATTTAAGAGAAGACTGAAAGATGATAACCAGGGACAGGAATGTGATAATGACACACAGATGGAGCATCAGCTTTAAGAAACCTGTAAAGATTAGAAGCAGACACAAACACTTCCTCCATCTTTTCTATCTGAGACTAAAATCAACGATGGTAGGAGTTRAAAACCGGAGACGTTGCTTCTGTGTTTTGATTTGCAGTGAGACACTTCTAATCATCTGTTGTAAAAGTTTGAGCCCAGTCTCGATGGTAAAACCATCTGAGCTGTTAACGCACTGAACCAGTTTCCTTCAAACTATTTCTTTTCCAACAATAGGTTTAAATCTCCTCGTCACTGTTTTGAGAATTACAGTTTAGCATTTTTTTTTTTGTTCTGCTTCAGGGCAAAAAGGATGATCGTTTCCTTTTGGCAGCAGATGACAAGTTTTTTTTCTTTTCTCTGGCCTCTCCTGGCAGTGCTCAGGTAGCGATAAGACCCCGCCCRTTTACCGACAGGATCCAGCCCCGCGACTCTTCCTGTTCTCAGAAACCGAGCGGCTTTCTCTCCCTCAGCAGCTGACAGGCTTCCCTTCAGCTGGAGCGTCAGRTCAGCAGATAAAACACGACCCGTAGAACCGAGCTGAACTGAACTGACCCGTATTTGTTCATCGGACTGAATCATTCTTCGTCATTAGGTTCGGTTCCGGTCTGCAGAACTCATCTGGTTACCCTGTTCCAGGTCCGATGAACCCTCTGACTTCAYATGTGCGGGTCCTGACAGGACTCCCACAGACCACAGTGTCAAATCAGCACCAGGACGCCACCCTGACTCACTCCCTGACGGCGCTGAATCAGCCCGACCCCCCCGCGCTGATTCTGGCTGCTGGGAAGACGAGGACGGGACCCRCGATTTGGGACTCGCCACAATGACTGCAGACATTTTGATGAAGCCACAACTTTTCTTTTTTTTATACACGTGTGTGTGAGAGATTCTGCACAACATGCTGAGAGTATAAAAAAAATAAAAACAAGCAAATCTGAACAGAAACATGAGAAATGAGTGAAAGTGTGAACGCAAAGACTGAAAGGAAACAGTGTAGTTGTCTGTTAGCAAAATATTTCATCAACCACTAGATGGATTTTATTGAAATTTTCAGGAAATAATCATTATGTGTGCTTCTACGACTGATTAACTTTCAAAGCTGACCCAATTCAAAATGGCTGCCCCATCCAACTCATCATGAAAATTACAAAAATCATTATAATTTAAGAAAATTTGCAAATATTGAGCTAAATATTAGTGTGATAGTAGCTGAGAGTGATCCCCAACATGCAATCTGAGTACCAACAGACTGCACAGGATCCTTATTTCTAATTCTGCTAATAGCTTTATGGAATTAACTCTGTCTGTCCGTCTGTTAGCATAATATGTCATGAACCACTGGACAGGTTTGAATATAACTTTCAGGAATTATTCATTTGATGTGTTTCTAGCACTCTTCAACTTTTAGAGTTGATCCGGTTCAAGATGGCCGCCACATTGAATTTAGAAATCACAACAAAAGGTTATAACTCGATCAGTTTTACAAATATTGAGCTGAATTTTGGAGTTTGTAACTGAGTAATCTGAGTACCAACAAAACGCACAAAATACTTGTCTATAATTCCGGCAACAGTTTTTCAAGATTAACTCTGTCTGTTAGCAAAATATCTCATGAACCACTGGACAGGTTTGAATAAAACTTTCAGGAAATAATRGTTCGATGTGTTTCTACAATTCATTACCTTTAAGAGCCAATCTGTTAATTGGTCAGTTTGATATGGTAGCTGAGAGGCATCCTAATATACTCCAAGAGTTTTATTTTAAAGACTAAAAGTCTGTTTTATTGTCTTACTGCTTGTGTTTCAAGTTAAATTATWGTTTTTTTTACACTAAAAAACAAATTGTATCAACTTTCTCCCCTTTTTTGTGGCAGAATATAAAAGAAAATTTGCTCATGTGTCACCTTTGCACCTGTTGGGGTCTCAGAAGAAGTTCTTGATGAGGGGAGTGACCAGTTTCACCCACAGCTTGACGTAGCGGTCGGGCCGCTCGAACGTGGAGCCGGACACCTGCGTGGAGCGCCGGTACAACATCTCCTGCTCCTGGCAGAGCAAAAGCACAGGTGTGTGTTCAAGGCTTGTGTTACACACTCGCTCTTCAGCGGGTGGGGGATGTGTGAGGGGGGATAATGAGCAGACCTCCTGCAGCTGGCTCTGCAGCTCCTCGTTCTCCGTTACAATGGCGATCTGGGCCTCCAGGTCGCGGTGAAGCGAGCGGTAACCGAAATTAGGGGAGCCGATTAGGGTGAGGCAAGGCCGGTCCTGCCCCTGGAGGTAATACCAAAGACCTGCAGAGGGGGCGGGGGGTGGGGGATAATCAGAGTTAGAGTGGGGGTAATTCTTCAGAAGAGTCAAGTCACTTCCAGCAGAGATTTTTGTTGACCAAAACCACAACTAAAAGAAAGCACATGTAGAAAATCCCCAGCGTTGATCCAAAAAAAATTCCAACTACGAAGCGTGAGTGTGCATCCTTGTCCTGAGGCTACAACGGAGTACAAGCTTTTGTGTCCTAACCTACACACCATCGCAACCACAAAAAAAAAAAAAAAAAAACCAGGATCATTTCCACTGAGGCCACTCCATCTGGACTTTAAGATGTTCTAAAACATGCAGGAAAAAACAATTAGCAACAAAGCTTTTGGGTTTATAAAGCTTCGAGCTAGTGGAACTAGCTATATAATTAAACTGTGCACAAGTTGAATAACATTCCTTACGAGTAGACGACACGTTCAAAAAAAGTGATGCGTCATCCGTCTGGTTTAATTAAGGAACCATCTGACATTTACTGTAAGAGGTGACCTAAATTCAGTTATTAGGCTCTGAAGCTAAATAGTGAGAAAACCAAAAGGGAAGGAGGAGGTGGATGWCTCCATTATTAACTTATTTTTTAAATACATCCTTGTGTTTGGCTGGTTCTCCCAGGAGCAATTAAAAATAAAAAGGAAAAGGAAGTTGTTTTTGSACAGACGTCAAAGGAAATCAACTCAAGTTGACAAAAATAAACATATAAACATAAAAAAAGGACTTCCCTTGAGAAGGATGTTGACATGAAGGAAAATCTCCTCTAAAACATGCATTTATTTCAATTCATTCTCTCATAATATTAAAAAAAACTTTTCTTGGGATATACAACCTTTTCCATCTCTGCTTCAGCCGTTTCTTTCTGTCGTTACTTCACCGGATATAATAATTACCCTCTCAGTGAAAGGAATCTACCCTGACATGATTAGAAGTGCTTTGAAATAATCAGCGGTTTACAAACTGTTTCCACCAGGTGCCACCTCAGAAAACGTTTACCGTATTTATTCGTGTATAATACGATCTCATGTATTATACGACCCGCCCTTTTTTTGAGCTTAAAAAGCATAAAAAATTTAATCATCAAACTACCTCCAATTTCATACAGACTTCAAGATTTTTCAGCCTTTGCAGTCTTTATACATATCAGTAAAATGATCATTGGATTGTTTGTTTTATTTTAACAACATATGTACTAAAAGGTATTTTAACAACAAATAAATATCAGCTGTAGCAGCATCATATGAATTCTGGCATTTTACACATAGTCCACCAGAGCCAACACAAAAGTCAGAGACTTCACATGAGATTTGGACCATCTTGTGGGGGAAAAGCAGATTACTTCCTACTCGCGAGCGCCCCCTCTGGTGGGGAAACATTTTTTTCAGGGATACAAACTTTTCCAGAACACCGGTAGACGGCAGCCATTACAGAGGAACATGTTTGTTGTTGTTCGATGAGCGGCCCGGTCACACGCCAAGGTCATTAGTTCGTTATCATTACTAAGGTGCAGGAATACTTCCCCCCCTTTTTTTTCACATCATGTCACCTGCCTGGATCTGTTATTATCTTGCTCTGAAGCACGGAGAAGTGTCAGAGGTAAGCTCGATTCAACTGCTTTTTACGACGCGGTCTCATTTCCGGACTCAGGCATTTTGTGAAAGAAGCCAATATTTGAGTTAAAATACATAAGTAAAAATATTTATCAGAGTATAGTACTACCCCCAACTTTATGGATGATTTTATGGATTTAATTTTACGTATTATACTTGAATAAATACGGTAACTCTCCTTGTAGCAACATTTATAACATTAAAAAACAACAACACGTCAGTGTTTCGTCGACCTTTAGCGTGAAACGTCCACTGCGGCCGGTGGTACTCGTGCAGGATGACCCTCTCCTCCTGGCCCAGCTGGCAGACCCGGTTGTAAAACTGCCTGGCGATGTGGACGTAAGCTGCCGGGATCGCGCCGGCCAACCCTTTGGCCCCGAAGAACCCGTTGACCTCAGGGGAGGCGGTCAGGATGCGGTAGCTGGCTCCGGCCCCGAGCACCAGCTGCATGTAGGTGCGGGTCAGGTTGAAGTAACCCGATGTTAGGTACACAGTGGAGTCCGGCTCGGCGTCTGTCAGCAGGCGCTGGGCGGTCCAAAGAGAACACAGATGAGTTACAAAGTTAGTTTTCATTTTAGTTATTTTGTGTGAAAATAGTTCCAGATGCAAATTATTGTTTGAAGTTTTTCGTACATGTCTCAGCATTTTTGGCCTTTTTAAACAATTTTTACATCAGAACAGTCAGTCCATTCAGGATCAAGATGCCATGACTTTTGGTTTTGGTAACTTTTTAACCAGTATTTTTCTTCTAAAATACACGGAGACCTCTTAAATTTGGTCAAAAATGTTGTTCTGCTTGAAATTTGATTCACTCTACTGGCTCTATTTATCCTCTACTTCATACTCTACATTTAGCTTTTAGGCAGCATTTTGCTACTTTTAGCATTTAGTTAGTTTGATACTTTAGGCAAATCTTTTGTTACTTTTAGCTCAAAGCTCCTATATTGCTACTTTTGGCTTACAGCTAGCCATTTAATACTTTGAATAAACCTTTTGCTATTTTTAGTATCAGGCACCTTTTTTGCTACTTTTAGCTTTCAGTTAAGCTTTAGCTGGTTTTAACCAGTATTTTGCTACTGTAAGCAGATCTTTTGTTGTTTTAGCCTTTAGCTACCCTATTGCTACTTTTGGCTTATTTGTCCATGGGCTATATATCTAGTCATTTGATATTTTGAACAAACTGGTTTCCTATTTTTAGCTTTCAGCTAAGCTTTTGCTGCTTTTAGCCAGCCTTTGCTATTTTGAGCTGTAAAAAGCTTTTTGTTATACTTAGTATTAAGCACCTTTTGTTACTTTTAGCTCAGCTTTTGTTACTTTTAGCCAGCCATTTGACAATTTAAGAAAACCTATTGCTATTTTTAGCTTTTAGCTAAGATTTTGCTGATTTTAGAAAGCATTTTGCTACTTTAAGCAAATCTTTTTCTACTTTTAACTACCATATTGCTACTTTTGGTTTATATCTAACCATTTGATACTTTGAACAAATCTTTTGCTATTTGTAGCTTTCAACTAAGCTTTTGCAGACTTTAGCTAGCATTTTGCTACTKTGTCACTTTTTAAGAATCAGGCACATTTTGGCTACTTTTAGCTCAGGTTTTGTTCCAAGTTTTCTACTTTTGGCTAGTTTTTTTGCTACTTTTGTGTTTTAACTTTATCCTTCTGCTATTGTCGTCTTTTAACTAGCAATKTGTTAGCTAGCTAAGAGTTTAGCTAGAGTTCTGCTTTATTTAGGTTTAACATCTCAGTTTCAGCTTAATGGCGAAACTGATGCAGTGCACTCTGTCTCTTCCTCTCTCTTATTTTTAATTGGTCACCTAAATGGACTTGGGCTCACCTGTGTGACCTGCTCGTCCAGCTGGATGCCCAGAGGTTTCATCTGGACCAGGGGGAACACCCAGGTGTCGTCCTCCTCCTCCTCCTCCTCCTCCTCGGACTCCTCCGAGCGTTGGTGGTGCCGCAGCTGTTGCCTCGTGCGAGCCGTGTTCACGACGTCCATGATTCGCTTCCTCGCCACTGCCGAGAAGTCCCGCCGGTTGCCTGGTCAGCGGGCAAGACACACGCAGCTCAGGCAGGGGGGTCAGGCTGAGATTGATGTTGAGTTTATGTTTAATTTAAAATAAGTTGATGAAATTTAACTTGAATATCAGTTTTCTTTCAGCTCTAAAGTGCTACAGTCAGCACAGTAAACCCGGCTGCATTGGCACAACATCTGGATAAAGTGAAGCAAGTCAAATTTATTTAGTTCAGTATTCCCCTGAAATGTGAGTGTCAAGATGTATTTGATAAACTAAGTAAGGTGAACCTTTAATTTTTTAGAAAAAGAAGCTTAAATCTATTGATCGTCAGTAATGACTGACTGCAGAGAACAGTCTGTCTCCACGCTGTCTGCTGCTGTWAGGACACATCATCGCTTCGAATCAGTTCCTTCCAAGTCATACAGTAAAAACGTCTCTCAGTGTATTTTCATCAGCTTTCCTGTGTACTTCCAATAACCGTGTTTGTGTGTATCAGTTCCCACTACTGTACATATCTTCTTCCAGCAACACCGTGACATCACATCTCTATTCCTGGTGTCTGTTTCTGCAGCCTAATCCTGCAGACATGATGTCATTCATCCCTATAACTAACATCCTGGCAGGCCGTGCTCCAGTTACGGACACACCGAGCCTGTGTGTGTGTGTTTGTGTGAGTGTGTGTAAGCAAATTTCTGACAGTTTCACATCCGGCTGCACAGCTAGCAAACCACAAGAGCTCTCTTTATCCTTCTCACTGCGCAGAGTCCGTCTCTCTCAGACCAGCATCTCCTGGCCTGTCTAAGCTTTCAAGCTCCATTAGCTGAACCCATCTACTCCTGGCGCTTGCGCTCCGGGCCGTAACTGAGCTTGAAGTGTCGAGAAGCGTCAAAACGGGCTGGTGTACGGGGGGGGGGGGGGGGGGGTGCGCGAAGCGTGCACAGGGAAACGCGCTGGGTTTCTACCTTTGTACGGGTGCACCATGCCTTCCAGCATGGCGACCGAGTCATCGGGCTGTAGCTGAAGGGAGACGTCTCCCACGGCCTCCACCAGGTCGGAGAAGAAGTCCGCCACCTCCCTGCAGTTCTCCAGGAGCACGTAGCGGTCCTGTCTGTTGGTGAAGTACGAGTCACTTAGGTTGGCTCTGAAAAATAGAAAAGATGGGAGACGAACGATCTTTAAAAGTTGAGGAAATTAGATTTTATTGTCATAATAAAAAGTAAGTATGGCGTGTTCCAACTCTCAAGCTCCTTGTATGTCTATGATGCATTGATACACGTTGCTCTAAAAAAAATAACTCCATCATCATCTGATACTGTATCAAACGCAGCATGCTCTCCAGCCACACATTTATTGTTGATGTCAAAAAAAAATTCTTTAGCAACTTTGAAACGTCACAACATACCTTACGTATAAAACGCGTACGTAAAAGTTGCGTTGACGTGACCCGACGCTAGGGTTAACCAAAATCGCATTGTGTGCAATTAATCTTCCAAATAACTTTAATCGATTATTTTTCGGCACTTACCAATTAATATAATTAATGCCACCAGACAGAATGACTGGAGATTTCCCCGGTCAGTCGGCTCGATGCTCTTCTCCGCTTCAAATATGACGAACATTTTAAAAAAAAAGTTCTGTAATTTATTTATCATAACTCTGGTTTTACTTGGCCTCTCAACACATTTTAAAAATTGATGTGTAAATATAGCCTGAAGTCTGTCCTTTTTACACAATTTGGAACATATTTTTATGGAGAGCAAATCTTTCCCACAAGAGTGATTTAAATTGGTCATGTGACTAGGGCATGCAGGGGTCCAGGGACTCCAGGGGATTAATCGTCATATTAATAATGATCGGCTAAGTAACACAATTACGGCAATCGCAATTGACTTTATTTGCCAATATTGCCCAACCCTACCCGATGCTACACTTTACGCTACATTTTCTAGTTCATTCCACAAACGTGGAGCTGGTAATGCATATTCCAAAACCTAAACTTTTCCTAGAAGCAACCGGAAGCTGAGAAACCGCTCCTTACAACTTTTGTTTCCAGCCGAGCAGCATAGTTTTCCTCTACAGTACAATTATCTTAGATCATAATGACATTTAAGGTGTGTCGTTTGCAGTCATGGGGAAAAAAGAAATCCTCTTTCAACTACAGGTTTTACGTAACAGGATATAAAAATAGATCCCATTTCCAACAGGTTCTAAAATTATTCATATCTGACCTCAAGTGTTTAAAACACAACAAAGTCCAGAATTTCATCACTTATCAAAGATAAACCAAAACTTGTAAATCAGTGTAAAAACCTAAGTAAATTCCATGTTAAATCCATCCAGAGTGGTCCGTCAAGGCACTTTACATAAATGGGGGCTACATGGAGAGGATAATTTAGGACGTGAGACCTGACACTGAGTGCCAACACCACATAGACCATAAAAAGGCACGACAAAGACTTTATTTTCCTAGACTTCCTGGGAATAACTGCATGTCCCAGATGTTTCTAGTGGTCTTCCACTGCTGAACCATTCTGCCTAAGWGTGTGGTATGGCAGCAGAACAGCGGCAGAGAAGCTGGTGGTTCTCTCCACCCTAAAAGAACTGTACACGGTTAGATGTTTGACAAAATAAACTATCCTGAGGGACAAACACACCTGTTTGAGCCGCTGCCCTCGAGGAGGAGATACCAAACATTAAACGTCATTACAAACAGGCCGAAGAACAGTTGTGTTTGCTGTCCTAATTATTTTATTATCAATGGTATGTGTGTATTAGGATGCAGTGAATTATGTGTGCTGTCTATTTTTTATTTATTCATTTTTTGCATTTCTAATTTGTGCTGTTATGAAAATAACCATGACATTTAAAAAAATCCTGATCTTTTACTCAGGAGCAGCCTGCTGCTGTACATTTTGTACGTTCATTCAAAAACCCAATAACTGAGTGAGGGTGAACTTTCCTTTTATCCATGATGGAACTTCAAAGCTGCTCATTGCAAAGTATGAGAGCGAACAAAAATAAAAAATTTCCTCTCAAAATGCAGTGTGAATGCTTAATGCTGAAAGATCGTTGCTGAATTAAAAAAAAGCTGAAGCTAGCCTAAAAATAGCCCCAAAAAGTAGCTGAAATTAGCACAAAGAAACAGAAAAGGCATGTTTGCTGAATTAAGAGGTAAGAAGCTGAATTTATCACAATAAGGTAAATTTAGCTGGAAAAAATGCTCAAATAAGCTAAAAAAGTAGCTAAAAACAGCTTAAATCAAACAGAAAGAAGCTGAAAGAAGCACTTTGCTTGATTCTTGTAAAGTGTGTGCTTTTAGAAAAATGCTATTCAAATAAAATACATTATTATTATTATTATTATTAGTAGTAGTAGTAGTAGTAGTAGNGTAGTAGTAGTAGTAGTAGTAGTAGTAGTAGTAGTAGTAGTAGTAGTAGTAGTAATAGTAGTAGTAGTATTATAAAAATTGTAATAAGTAGTGGAAAAATAGAAAAGGTCAGAATGCTAGCTAAAAAAGTAGAAAAAGCTAAAAAAAATCAGCGAAATAGAATCCAAAGGAAGATGAAATGAGYGCAAATGAGTTGAAAAACTAGAACAGAGTAGAAGATAAAAAGTACAGTAATAATTTATGAGCGTTTTAAATGGTTTTAAGGATGTTAAATACAGCTCCATTCATTTTCAAAGAGAAAAACAGGGCAGAAAAAGTTAAATATCTCAAAGTACAAATTGCTGAAGTGCTACAAGTCAGAGTAAGAATGTCCAGAAGGAGCTGAACGTTTTGGCATAGAAACTGTTGAAGCAGAATAAAAATTGTAGAACAAGATAYGTGCCGAAAAACACGTAAGAGAAAAATATCGGTATCAAACGGCACCAGTTTGAAAGAATTTACTCCAGTAAATTTATGATTGTGCAATCCTGAAATGTCGGTACGCATTTAAAGGRAACAAAACATACCAAAGGTGTCTTCTTGACAGAAACCTATCGATCATGAATAATAATTACCCAGTCTAACTTGAAGGTTTGCGTAACGAGTTCTTCCGTCGAAAGAGAAAATGAATTCATCATGAGTTAGAATGCATTCAGATTGTGTTCTGAGAGCTGAAATACTGGTTTTGGAACTCATCCAATAATCTCAAACTTTTAAGCGTATTTATATTAAATGTTCATTGCAAGCATTTTTACACACATCTGTGGTCTGAGTAGAAAGTTTTATGCAAATTCAAARTGTGAAACAGGAAATACGAGAATTTGGACGACATTTATCAACGATCTCGAGGAGATGACGGTAAACGATGACAGAAAAGTCCTTTAGTGAGACATAATTATGAGCCCTTAAGGCAAACTTTTCACTCTTAGACAAACATTTCAGGGAAATCTCTCGTATTAATTCTGCAAATATACGAGCTTGTAATTTTTGAACGGAGACTAGTTAGAAACCGCAGTGGCACTCTGCCCACTGACTTTGAAATGTGATTTTCATTTTCCTCTGCACACATTTTAAAGTTCACTGAGAGCATTTCCAAGCAGGGGAAACACCTACTTTTTGTTTTGGGAAATTGATTTGGAGGATCTGATCCTGAGCTGTGGTTGGATGTAAAATATTCGGTGGTTAATCTTTACACACCCGCTGATGATAATGCTGTCGTCAAACAGGTAAACTTTGATGTGCTGGACGCCGATGGTCTCGTTGAAGCGCTGCGGGACCAGAAGTCGCAGCAGGCCTCTCAGATCCGGAGTGTGGTACAGAGAGACCCGCACCTGAGACGTGAAGCGCTGCAACAGAGGCAGCAGCATGGTTCTGGAGTTAATCTGCCCTGAAACACAAAACACAGGATCGGTGAGGCTGAGGACGATGAACATCTGCACACAGAGCGTACTGAAAACACCAACCTCTTGATCCACGTGTGTAGTCCAGCAAAATGGAAACTTTTAGATCAGAGTGACCATTTTCCTTTGAATGCCTGAGAGCTTCCTCCATACAGTCCACCTTAAAAATAAATAAAAATATGATCAATGATATCTGCACCAGCTATAAGAAAACAATCATTTACAAAAATAACTTTTCCTGTTTTAGGTCAGTTTTTATTTTCTATGTGCCTAAATCATGAAAGATGTTTTTATTACTTTCTGGTGGGGAAACTAATTTTCAGGGATACAAACTTTTTCAGAACACTGGTAGACAGCAGCCATTACAGACGAACATGTGTTTGTTGTTGTTCGAGGAGCAGCCCGGTTACACACTAATGTCATTAGTTCGTTATCATTACTAAAGGAATGCTTTCCCCCCCTTTTTTTTCGCATCATGTCACCTGCCTGGATCTGTTATCTCGCTCTGAAGCACGGAGGAGTGTCAGAGGTAAGCTCATTTCAACAGCTTTTTACGGCGAAGTCTCATTTCCGGACTCAAAAATTTTGTGAATGAAGCTGATATTTCAGTTAAAATACATAAGTAAAAATATTTATCCGAGTATAGTACTACCCCCC